GGCTCTGATTGTGTTCTTGACTTTCTCAATTGGCACAACAATAGATGTTTTCCAGTGATCAGGAACAACACCATATTTTAGGCTTTCATTAATTAACTGCGTGTAAAAGTACCTTGTATATGTTATAGGCTGCATTTCTTTATTCATGCCGAACGTTTGGAATAAACTTTTTTGTTTACTTATTCTTTAGAACGTTCCTGATGATATGTTAACGTATATTTCAAACTCATTCTGTTTATTCCGGCTGTGAAATGTGATTATCCGGAATGTATAAAGAAACGCAGCCATTGAGTCTTTTATGACTCCCTCAGATAATAGTTTTTTTCCTCCAATTTTATTTTTAAAACCACTGACAATTTCAAGCACTTCATCGGTTTCGATTTCTATAAATTTAAAGTTATGTGTGCAATTTGGAGTCGTAAAGGATTCTTTTTTTCCAGGTTCTATATTTGAGGTAATTTCAATAATGCTGTCAATAAAGTAGTTATTTAGTGATTGTGCAATCCCATTTTCCGTTGTGTACAAGGTGTTGTGAATTAACACTTTATTAATGGCGTTTATTTCCTTTGACATACTTATCCAATTTTTTAGATGCTTCCACATTGATTTGCTATCTCCAATATTAACTGTTATTTTATGCTCCAAGTATTTAACCTTTTTAACCTTTACCATCCTCTTGTATCTACGTTTGATTGTATTATAGTCACTCCAGGCCCCTGTTTCTAATGCTATCCTGTAAAGATTATACTTTTGTTTATTAAGGTTTGCTAATTCAGCATCATACCACCTGTTCATGAGCTTAAGCCTTATTTCTTTAGTGTATGTTAGAGTGCCCATTGAATACGACAAGACATTAGTTAAAAATTTCGATTTATGATCGATGCTTAATTTCGAAAAATCCCTGTTATTGTATTGCCTCAGTTGGTGAAGAAGATTATCACTTGTGTAATTTTCCCAAGATATAATAAATTTGCTTGCTCTCATTTTATATATTTTCTCCAACTCGATCTTGACATAAATTGTCTCATGATCGGAGATCCGATGCATATCCATTCTTTGACACGAAATGTTTTTGCTATTGGTAAATAATAAATCAATCATGGTTTCGACCTCTTCCGAGTTCCTAGTATAAAAATTAATTTTCTGAACTATTGAGAAGGACTGTAATAACTTTACCAATTTTTTAATGTACGTTGTAGCTTTATATAGATTTATATTGAAGTCTCCAATAAATACAGTATTATCATCTAGGCAAGTATTGTTTAAAATTTCACTGAGGTAGCTGATAAAGTCAGCATCGCTAGAATTTGGCGAGTGATATATTACCCCTATTTGGTATTTCGGGGTAACATTTCCAATTTTTAAAAGAATACACCAAATATTCTTATCCCACGAGTAATTAATGAGAGTTTCATATTTAATTGAGTGGTGGACGTAAATTAAAACACCGCCTGTGTGTCTACTATTCGAGTTGCATCTAATTAGGGTGTAGGTTTCTACCTGTATTTCGTGGTTTGCAATGTCTTCGGTCAAACAGGTTTCTGAACATAGCACCAAATGGGGCTTACAAATTTCTATTAGTTTCTCAAGTTCACACTTATTAGCTGTAATACTGTTTATGTTTAAATAAATGGTATTCAGTTCATGAATACTTCGTTGCTAAACTTTAGTTTTGCTTTTGGCTTGAACGTATTTTTGGTATGCAGGGCAATCCAAACTGAATGCTGAGTGATTTACATTAACATCTTTTACTTTTTTCTGAACAAGTTCACAACAATTTACACACCTTATTATATCAGAGCCGCAATCCTTAACACCGTGATTTCCAGCACATCTACTACATGCCTTTTTATTTGTACAATCACTTGACTTGTGCTTATAACCCAAACATTTAAAGCATCTCATAATATTTAGATGCTCAAATACCATGCAAGTGTCCCATTCGATATTTACTTTTTTACGTTTCAAGACACTTTCATAGGTTAAAGCATCTGTTTCGACTAGAATGTTGAAGCTTTCTTGCCTTCGCGTTCTATTTTCGTATACTTTCAGTACTTTCAACTCCTTTCCCAAGAACTCATCATTTTGCTTAGTTAGACATTCTATTATGCGATCATTATTTATTTTTTCGGTTAACCCAACTATTTTCAGTATCTTTTTTATTTCATCTTTTCCTTTAGCTTTCTGGGCCTGGAACTCCGTTCCAATACTATCTCTTATTTTTTGATGCACTTTTTCGGAAGTATCTTTATTTTTACATTCTAAAACTATTCCCCCTCTATTAATTTCTTTCACAGTCTTAACAAGACCGTCAGTGGGTTCGATTACCTTTTTCAGCGCCTCTTTTGTTTCCTTAACGTTTTTGTTTTTGTTTAAGGGCTTTATAACAATTTTATTTTCATTTGTTTTGACAGCTTGGGCATATGATATTGGGGCATTTTCCTTACTAATTACTGGCTGAATGTTTTTTACCAAGTCATTACATTTTTTCCGTTCACTAGAAATTTCCTTAATGATTTCATTTTTCATAGCATTAATTCTCACTCCAATGTTATGTTCCAGAAATGTATTAAAGTCTGAAACAATACTCGTTTTTATTTGCGTACATTTGTTGTTAATCAGTTGCTCCAAAACTTGTTTTACATCAGCCGTCTTCAACTTAGATTGCTCACATTTACTTATTAAATGTTTGATTTCGATAAATTTCGTATTCGTATCAGATAAAGTACACTGATTACAAAACCATTTCAAATTAATATTTTCCGTGATTATTTTAATTTCATTCCTTTTAATATTGCTACATTTTAGACAGAAATTATAGCCACACCCACCAGAGCATGTTATCATTTCATCTAATAGAAACAATTTGGCAGTACATTCTTTACATTCTACTGTTGGCATTTTGCCACTTTTTACTGTGGCAATATACCCTAAGTTAACGTATGGCAATAATATATACTAACCACAATACACAAGTTTATGGCAATTTCAATAATTGTATGATATGAGCAATTGCTACTATAACCTAAGCGTAAAACTAACTTGGCAGCACTCCGTTTCCAGCTGATCAGCTGTTTCGATTCCAAGAAGTAGTTGACTTTTGTTGATATGGAATGATGAGCAAAGGGCATCAATTGCGAATATGATGGCAAAGGACAGAGTAACAAAGGAAAGAACATGAACAGAGGAGCGCCCTCGGGTACGCAAAGGAAAACCAAAAGGGATGGAGATTAATCCGAATTGTCTTGGATTTAGCGGCTCCAATGCTCTTTGCGGAGGTGTCCAAAGCAGATCTGCTGCAGATTGTTCCCTGTGCCTTCCCAATACCAACAATGGCAGCTTGACTTACTTTTGTTAACCCAGCTATCGCCGCAGCAAAAACAACAACAGCAAAACAAACTATTTTATTTATGCAATTTTTTGTTCGCTTATTTGTTTTGTTTGTATGTTTATTTATGCGGCACTCATAATTCAGCTTGCACTTAAATGGTACTGTTGGACATAAAATGTACAAAATACAATTCTTTTAACTACTTAAAATGAGAGCATCTAGCACGAGCGCAAAACACACATCTATTCCGTTTACTATCCGTTTCGATAGGTATGTATGTTGTGAACTCATTTGTTTGTAAACATGAAGACATGGTTTTTGTTATAAAATGTGTTATTGAAATACACGATCTCATCTTTATGGTTTTTGTAGCTACCAAATGGAGTATTTAACAAATAGATTTCTTCCTGGCTGTTGTTATCTTATATAGTAAAAGAAGAAACGAAGAAATGTACATGGGATCTTGCATATCACTTGCCAAATTTTTCTTGGACCATAAAATATGGAAGTTTCATGGAGTTTCATAAATCAATTATAATTTAAAATTAGAAAATTTTAATCAAGTCAAATAACAGTCGCCGTGGTGATTAGACGTGTTTTTTGCGCTCCGCTTATCTATATCTATTGCTTAATATTGTCTGAATCTTGGCAATATAATGAACTGTGTTAAGTGCTCCACTTTAAGTGAAGGTGAAGAGTACTTTTTTTTGTGGCATCTGTAAAAATAAAACTCATATTAAATGTGCAAAACTAAGCTCTGGTGCATTAAACATTTTGAAAACTAATAAAAATGTGCTATTTCAATGTGATAATTGTGCATTGGGCCATTCTGCTACTTCGTGTATGAGCGTTGAGGAAGCCCAAAAGAATATAAATGCACTCAGTGAGTTCTTTAGCTTATTAAAAGGTCTGAGTGCTAATATCATAGTTGACAGCAATAAAAAGTTAAACAACTCTAACTCGTTGACCAACGTTATTCGTACGCGCTCCAAAGCTAAGGCCGATGACCGTAATAACCTGCATTTGCAAACCGTATCGAACAAAACTCTTGCTTCTACCACGCCTGGAGAGAGATGCAGAATCAACAATTCTAATACTGAATGTAGTGCTTTGGGTGTGCAGCCGAAAAAAGTTGTGGAGTCTCTCATTCTCCCATCCTCCGACGCTGCTGGTGATGGGCCTGCTATTAGTGGTGGTGGCGAAGCAGATGATGTTGAGATGCTCTCTTCTACATCTGCTCAGTCACTCATGTTTTCATCTGGCTCTCATGCTCTGCCTAATACTGCTGATCAGTCAGCTACTACGCCTGGTGGTGTAGCTACGTTTATGACTCCCACTCTTATCTCAAATACACCAAACGCTTCAAACGCTAATACTGAAAACTCTGATTCGCAGCCTTTTGGTATTGCTTCTGAGTGGAAAATTGTTACTAATAGAAAAACCAAAACAACCTTTAGTTATTAGCTCTAACAACAAGAGTGAACTCAGTGTTGTTTCTAACATGAAGTGGCTGCATATTTCATCGTTTTCTCCTAGCGTCATTGTTGCTGATATCTTGACATATGTTGCTAAACATGCTGAGATTGATCCCAAATGGCTGGTGTGCTACATGTTGGTGAAAAAAGACGCAACTCTTGAAGATCTGAAGAAAGTAAATTTCAAACTAGGCGTATCTGACTGCTGTTTTAATAAAGTTGTTAATGCTAATATCTGGCCGATGAACGTGAAGATTCGTCCGTTCCGTTTTTTTCTAAAGGGAGGTGCTGCACAACAGGAACCGTAAGCGTCTCTGATATTGTTGAAGCTGATACTAAGCCTCTAAAGATCTATTTTCAAAATGTATCTGGACTCAGAACCAGGTCAAAAGCAGTTTTTAATCTGAGCGCTCAACTTGATTATGAAATTTTTGTACTAATTGAATCGTGGCTAAATGGTGAATTCTGCGAAAATGAATATTTCGATTCGAATCTTTTCACTGTTTACCGAAAGGATCGTGATGCAATCAAAACTGGTTTTTCTAGAGAAGGTGGTGTGCTAATCGCTGTTCAGCTTTCGTTCATCCCTCACGCGCATGGCTAATATGGATTCACTTCTGGACCAACTATGCGTCCTTGTACATGGTAAATCCAAAATTTTAATTTGCGCGTCATATATCCCGCCGAGTAGTGTTGACTCATTATATAAGGCGCATGTTGATCCGGACTGTAACCTTTGTATTCTCGGCGATTTCAATCTGGGCAATATTGATTGGTCGTATATGGACAACAGCCATGCCTTAATCCCCAAAGATGTCAATAGCTTCTCTGAATCTTACTTGGTAGATAATTTTTTAAGTTTAGACCTAATTCAAATAAATAGTTTTAGAAATCAACTTTTTAAAATTCTAGATCTTATTTTCGTGATAATTTGAATTTTGCTGTAAATGAATGTCTTGATCCATTGTCTGGTTCTGGTATTCATCACGTACCTCTTGTTATTAAACTAGAATTTTATAATTTTAAAAGTCTTGGTGTTGAAAATCAAAGACCTAGTTTTTGCTTTAAGCGCTGCAACTTTAACATTGTTAACAATGAAATTCTTTCACTAGACTGGGATTCAATATCTGCTAATAATGATGTGGTCAAATGTTTTGATATTTTTAAATTGAAAGCTAATGATATTTTCTGTAAGCATATACCAGTTATACGTAAGAAATGCTATAAAATTCCTTGGTATACCAGAAAACTAAAGAAGCTAAAGAATTTCAGGAATAAATAAAAAAAAAAAATACAGATTTTCTAATACCCTTGCTAATAAAGGAAAGTACAAGCAGTATTAAACAAAGTTTAAATCGTTGAATAATACCCTTCAACGCAATTATGTCCGTAATTTTGAGCACGATATCCAATCAAACCCCAAAGCATTCTGGCGTTATGTTAAATCGAAAAAGTCTATTTCAAGTCTTCCATCTGAAATGTTTTACAATGAGACTAATGCTTCCTGCACCCAAGAGGCGGCGGATCTCTTCGCGGACATTTTCTGCCCTTTTTTTTTGAACCTATCTCGCAATCAGCTGGTGATTTTGAAGCAAAAGCTGATTCCTCTATCAATTTTGGTTCCCTCTCTTTGACTCTGGACGATGTGTTAGTCGGCATCCTGCATATCAAAAATTCGCCGCAAATGGATGTAGACGGTTTCTCCTCTTTTCTTTTTAAGAATTGCTTTGCTTTTGCGTATCCGCTCTTATTAATTTTTAATAAATCGCTTGTGGTGAGTTTATAGACGATTGGAAAGTGACTTCCATTACCCCAATATACAAAAGTGGTAATAAGAATGATGTTGCCTATTATAGGCCTATCTCCAAACTCTACTGTTTCAAAATTATTTGAATATATTATCAAGGAGAAACTATATTTTGCAGTAAAGCGTTTAATTTCCTGCGAGCAGCACGGTTTTATGGCTGGCAGATCTCGCTGTTTTTTCAGAATTTTGTATGTCCGCCTTTAACAATCGCCTTCAGGTCGATACTGTGTATACTGACTTCTCGAAGGCATTCGACAAAGTCAGTCACTCAATTTTAGTTTCCAAGTTGCAAAACTTGGGGTTTCATTCCGTTTTTTTAAAGTGGGTAAAATCATACCTATCTCTCCGTAAATGTGTTGTTGTTGTTGACAACACCTGTTCTCGTTCTTTTATTGCTTCGTCCGGTGTGCCCCAGGGTAGTATCTTAGGACCCTTACTCTTTGTTCTTTTTATTAACGCTACATCTTTTTTTTTCCTCATCTAAGTTTCTTTTATATGCTGACGACTTGAAAATTTTTACCACTATCTCGAGTTATTCTGATGCAATCAAGCTACAGTCTGATCTCAATAACGTGGCTGCATGGTGTAGCAAGAATCGTCTTCATTTAAATATTAATAAATGCTTTCACTTATCTTTCTCCAAATCGCGGTCATTAATATCTACCTCTTATTTTATTGGTAACGCACGCCTAACTACTCTTGGCGAAATTGCAGATCTTGTAGTTGTTTTTGACTGTAAATTTTTGTTTCACAGCCATTTAAATTACATTATTGCCAAGTTTTATTCTATACTAGCCTTCATTCGACGGTTTGGGTCTGACTTTACTGATCCCTATACCTTAAAATTACTATACACTGCGCTCGTTTGGTCTAAGCTGGAATGTGCAGTCTTTATATGGAGACCGTATCACGATTGCCATATCAAGAGGCTTGAACGCGTTCAAAAGAATTTTGTTCGTTTCGCTCTTAGGTCTTTGAAGTTCGAGTATCCGATGCCTTCCTATAGTGCTAGGCGCTTATTAATTAATTTAAAATCTCTGCATAGTAGAAGGATTATCCTTTCGCTCTCCTTTGTGTTTGACATCGTAAGTGGAGTGACTGACTCCTTTCCTTCTTGAGCGCATTTATTTTCATATTCCTCAAAGAAGCCTTCGGAGTAGTGATTTGTTCTTTGTAGAACGGGTTAGAACTACCCAGCAAAAAACACGATTACCACAGAAACGAAAGTGGAAACGAGCTAGGCGATGGGAATCGCTTACCCTTTCGCTTCAAGAAGGCCTTATTTTAACATGGGCATGTCATTGGAGGTAAGCCCTTACCCGCAGCATTACCTTCAAACGAAGGGAGAACGCATGGATAAACAGAATCCAGAGAAGCGAACAAAGAATGCCTTACAGAGAAACTAATGTAGAATGCCTAGATAAGTACATACTTATTTATATTAAATTGAAATCAGAAAATGTCTTAAAAGATTAAAATTAATTAAAATTTTTATAAATCAGCTTTTATACATACATATGTATTTTTTTAGGTATTTAGATTTTCTTAAAAATCGGTATGTACATAGATGCATATTTAACTAAGCTTAAAATTGTACTTCCTCACTCTTGTACTTCACTTCATTGACTGACTTCAACTTCGCTGCAAATTGAACAAAGCAAAACATGATTTTTATGCGAGACAAATTTCCACAGAAAGTAACGGTAGAAAGAGAATTTTTGGGTATTCATTCTATTTTTCAGCTGACTACGATGCAGCATTCTACTTTGCATTCTCCGAAATGAAGCAAAGAAGCGAAATAAAAAAAATATTGTAGGACATTCTACTTTGCATTCCCTGAAATGAAGCAAAGAAGCGAGACAAATAAAATATTGTAGGACATTCTACTTTGCATTTCCGGAAATGAAGCAAAGAAACGAATTAAAAAAGAAATATTATAGGACATTCTACTTTGCATTCCCTGAAATCAAACAAAGAAGCGAAATAAATAAAATATTGTTGGACATTCTACTTTGCATTACCGGCAATGCCTAAAAGAAGCGGAAAAATTCGAAGGCATTATAACGCTATGCCTTCTAGAACACGTTACCACTAAAAGCGATTACCGATTTTTTGCTGGGTACTTATGCTTCTATTTTGAGAGCTTTGAAAGAATTTAATTCCATTTCAAATTCTTTGGCTATCGATTTTTCTTCCTCCAAGCTTATTTTTAAATCATTATTAAATGAATTATTAGCGTAACTCTTTGCTATAAGACACTCTGTAGTTAGTTCTAAGTACATAATCTGTAAGAAACACTGAATATTTCTAGATTATTTATTATTTGAATAAATAAATAAATATAAAATTTTAAGTTTGATGCATTTTAAAATAGATTGGAGAAACCGGGCAGTAGTGTTATATCTGAACATATGTAAGAAAGCTTTCGAGAGTATCGAATATTTTGCACTATCACTATCGAAACAATCGAATGCATACACTATCGATAGTTTTCCCACACTACTATTGCTATCTTTTCTAAAAGTTAGGCTGATAGCAGCCTCTCTCAACGAAACAACGTTCAAAGCACAATATAACCAGTAAACAACCTTGGGTGAATTTGGCGACTGCCTTCCTCGGGGATGAATATGCCAGGGATGAAATTATTGGTACACACACACCTTTTAAGCACGCAGGGTTGCTTTTGAGAAACTAAAATAACACAAAATAGTTTTAAAAAGTAAAGTGTAAAACGAAATTCATTGAATAATTCCACATAAAATGGTATACATGAATGACTAATTTGATAAACGATTTAAATAAAACGTGCTTCATAATAGGGCTAATGATACCCGGGTACCCGGTTACCCGGGTATTACCCGGGTGCCCGGGTAATTCGGGTAATGCCCGGGTACCCGGGTACCCGATTACCCGGGTATTACCCGGGGCTTTTATTACCCGGGTAGTCGGGTATTACCCGATTTGCCCGGGTACCCGGGTAATATACATATGTTGGTGCCGGTTAAACGAAAAACACCCGGGTAATGCGACATAAAGCTTCTTGTATAATCTTTTTGGTGAGGATAAATATTTTTTCAGTGAGAAAATTTTTTTTTATAATTATTTTTTTATGTCTAGAGTGTACGCGTACACCTAACCGCTTGCCTGAGTAGACGTTGACAAGAAAAGTAAATTAAAACATTAGTTTCTGTA